TTTGTATCGGCTCTGATTGTTGTCATAGTATGGTACACAGTCATTAAGTATTACGTCAGATGACAGTATATATAAGTAATAGGAAAGAAATGTAATAGTACAAGATGAAAATACAAATATAGTTCCGACTGGTAATACTATTGTAGTATGAATACAAGATGATAATAAAAATCTGAGCATGAAAGTTTTTAAATCCATACAGTTTGTTGTTTATTGGGCATTAGATATGCTACAAGTGGTATTAGATCACTCATGTTGGAAACAATCATTTCTTCATAAAATGTTAGAAACGATCAAAATACTCATGGTGATTCATCTTGATCAATATCGCTCGAGTTCAAGCTAAAAATCCAGGCAGTCTGATCTTTAACTTTACAAACCAGTGATAATATTTTCTAAAAAAAATACTTTGCATGTGATATTTCTTGTTCATGTGATTTCTTGCTTGTTTTATGTATTTTCTCTTAATATTAGGTGAACGAAAAGAAAACATGATAGTAGGTGAGGACATATCCAACCTGATAAGTGTTATTTTAAAAATATTCATTTATGTTTCAAACAATATCATTTTAATATTCTTCACACAAACTAAAAACTACATTAAAATTCATTCATAACTCTAATAGTTATATTATTGGATGTATTGAGTGTAGCCAACAGTTCTTGTGATGATAAAACATAGTTCTAAAATTAAAATCTATACATTTTCTATTTTTTGTTTTCCTACATTTTATATTAAAGGTTAAAATATGTATAGTTACTCAAAATTTGTAGAGATTATAAAATAACCTTTTATTTGTATAACAAAAAATATATTAAAATAACACTTTTTGTAAAGCAGCAAAAAGATTACATAAAGACATGTATATTAGAATTTAGTGATACTTTATAAATAAATATTTAACTGTTTCATACAAACCTTAACAGTATTAGTTTAAAATCATTTTAGACAGCTGTGCTTCAGTCCCACTTATAGAAAATTAAATGTTCAGTTAGAAATATCATACACTAGGATTGCCTAAAATTCAGAGATAAACATATAAAGCCTTGAAGTAACATTAGTTTGTCAATAGGGAAATAAAAGATGTGATCGTTCAGAATTGGTCCCTTTCAAGTTTCAAGGCATTAGTTCTTAAAAATCAATATTCTAATTTAGGTAATTTACTGTCGTTGTAAATGTTCCCTGAGTAGTTTGTACTTTGTAGTTCAATTCGAATTACAAAAGAAAATTACGATTACTTATTTAGTTACAACTAGATTTTAATCCGTACTTTTCAAATACAGAATAATTTTTAATGAAAATTTTATATAATGGTATTTTGTCTGTATTTAAAGTAGATTTGAATATAAAATATGTAATCTAAATTATGAATTGAACCCAATCTAACAATTTGATCTGTACAATTATATATCTTAAGGTGGTATAAAGCATATCAAAACCCAAGCCAAACTTGAACGGGTAACCCAAACAACTGCAAATCCAAAAACTCAAAAATCGAACCGAATGTCCAAAACTAATCACGAGTATAAATATTTGAAAAAATATGTATTTACAATATTCAATTTTATATTTATTTTACATTGGTATCTACAATAAGTATTTAAATTAAATATTTTAATATCCAATTCTATATAAATAGGTATTTATTTCTTATCTTTTGATTTTAGATTTAGAATTTAACTTCTAATATATCTGAACTAAAAATAATATAATACGAATCCAAACGACATATGGTTACTTTATATTTTGTAGAATATGATACACATTAGAATCAGAATCGGTGTGTTATATGCTAACATGATTTGTACCTACAATATAAACTTATTTTTTATTTCTATATTTGTCAAATTTATTTTATTATAATATTAAATTTATTATTTGGCATTCAACCCGTTTCATTTGATAAATATTTATTTTTATGAAATAAGCTGCAAAAACTGTAATTGAAAATCATAATATATAATTCAATGTACTATATAATCAAATAATATTACTGTCCACTGAATTTAATATTTTATTTTAAACGCAAATATACTAAATTATATGTTAATATGATAATTTATCTATTATATTCAATATAAAAATCATTTATGCTTTTAAATATTTTACTTTAATATTTTCCATTAATCAATTGAAATATGTTGTATACTGTATAAATATATATTATCATGCATATGTAATTCTTTTAATTTATAATTTATAAATAGTTGTAGTTAAGTTATGTTATATATATTAGTTACTGTAATAATTTAATTATGAATATGAGTTATGTATATATAAATTTTATAGAAATGGTATTTTTTTTTATTTTGTAAATTAAAATGTCTTAATATTTATCTGTAATAAAATTTAAAAGTAGTTACGAATTTATATTATTTAAAATAAATATTAAAACACTAAATCTCTATATTTTAAATAAAAAAGATATTAAAGATTTTTTTAAATGCAACAGAAAAAAGATATTTGGTAATATCTTTTGATATCTTATTTTGAAAATATTTAAATAATGTATTATATGTATATTTAATAATATTTAAGTTTGTTATATACAAAATTTTAAATATTAAATAAATTAAATGGATTAACCAAGATTATTTGTAGATAGATAACAAATAGTACTCTGTTAAGAAGATTATGTAAGTAGTAAACGATGTAAAAAGTAAAAACAATCCCTAATGGCTAATACCCGTTGAAGGAGACAGCTTATACGGCTTATATCGGCTTAAAAGAAAGCTGGTATATTTTTTGTCTTGCTTCGAACGATAAGACACGTGTCGGTTCTGCAAGTGGTCCTGAAGAATAGTTCGAGTCAGCAGCTGGTGGGACCAACTTCTTTTGCAGATATTCAAAGTCAAAAAATTCGGCCTTTTAATTTTAAAACATTTTCACCAAAAGGAAAACTTTATTGCTGGCTGGAAAAAGAAAAAAACTTTATCATATGCGTCTGTCTTCACGTATGCACACAAGGAGTTACTTTGTGTAGACTTAATCCAATTGAAATAAATTGAGTTATTTAATATATATATATAGATATTTTCTAGAAACAGTATGATATTTTAAATTCAAACCAGTGAAAAAAAAACGATGGTCTATTTTAAGAGAAAAATGTGACTCTTTACTATTATCATAACATCTATATTAAGTATTTGTAAGAAAATATAAAAAAATTTAAAACAGTTCATCCAGTAGTCGAAAAGATATAACTAATCACTATCTACGAACATAAGTTTAATAAATGGCTTAGAGCTGATTTTACTTTTTTTTTTAACAAATAATAATAATAACATGGTGACGAATACAAACCAAATGATACTTTTTTTCTGTAACAGGAACCAAATGATACTTGTTATAGTTAATATACCTTTTTATAAAATACATTTTTTGTAACAGACTAACAGGAACCAAATGATACATGTTATAATTAATAACTTAATATACCTTTTTTATACGTTACACACAAAGATACCTCAGTAATTACAGAAACCCTTAAATGTGAAATTGTTGAATTTAGGGTTAGGGTTATTATAATTTTTAAAAAGAATAATTTCTAATCTAATTTTTGGCATACTGAGGGAAAGTTAGCATATACTTTAAGATATGGGATGATACAAAGAAATGAAAATAACAGTAGTTTTTAAGAACTAAGAATAATGTTGACAAACTAAAAAGAAAACAAAAGAAAAAGATGAAAGGAGAGTCGCTTTCGCTCCGGTGAGGTTTGTCTCTGAACGGCGACGTCTCGTGCTTGGTAATGTAGTTGCTGTCTTCATCAATAGTATCCACTTCCCACACGCTACACCAAGACGATTAGGTTGAGTTTTGACTTTTCGACCTCTTTAGAAAACTTAGAACCTTGCGAGAAAACAAGTACATAAAAGTATCAAACTATAAAATAATTAGCATAATGTTAGGATATTAGTTAGCAATTGCTCTTAAATTTTATGGACACGTTATATTTTTTTTTTTGCAATTCTCTCAAATAGATATTTTTTAAATTTTATCATCAAAATATTTTTCAAGGAAAGAAATGACCAAAATAAATTTCATTAAAGAATCAAAAGAACCTTAACCTCTTCTTATAAAACTAAACAAAATATATTTATACAATTTTGAATTATATGTTTTTAGTTTTGAAATTTTTTATAATTTTTCAAAACTTTTTTCTCTGTTTTTTCCTTTAAATTTTCTTTTTGAAATTCGAAAATATTTTTTGAAGCTATTTTTAAAACTTTAATATTGATGTTCTATTTTTGAAAATTTTAATCCCCACTCCCAAAACTCCAACCTTTTAACTCTAAACAAAAAGTCTAAAATTAATTAAACCTATGAGTATAGAAATATATTTATCTTTCGATAAAATCTCTTGTAGTCAATTTCTTTTTCTTAGAATTCTTTTTGTTTTTGTGAAAATTAACTAAAAATGGATATTCTAGAGAATTTTTCTAAATCTTATAACACCTAAATTATAAAAATAATTTTTATTAAGACATGATCAGTGAGGATGTAGTCACCTTAGAGGTCAGAAGGAAAGTCTTAGGATGTTAAATTGTTGGGGAGGATCGGGACCTGCAGTTATGCTGCTTAAGTCTGGCCGTAGAGTCTTCTTGGCCTGGTGTTTTAATTTCACAGATTCCCTTATTCATGTTATCTATTACACCAACAAATCTAAACTTGGAAATGTTGGCTATTATATCGTAATTAGGCTCTTAGCTTCATACTGTGGCTTGATATACTGGGTTTGTGTCGAGTCATGGTGCGTGGTATATTGTATTCCATTGATCTTTTGCGTACTTCTCGGTATCCCATAGTTGTATATGATCTAAATGAAGTATAATAATCCTTTTGCCTCCTGATCTCGACTACCACAAGTCTAAAATGGCGAATCTTAGTGATTTTGGCAGGTAGGCACAGGGCAACGTGTGTTTGTGTGATACTCCAGTTTTAGTTCAGAAATGTAAAGCTGCTCAAGCTTTTGAGGTCCAAAGATCAGTCTGGACTAAAGGAATCAAAGACCAGCCTTGGTTAGTGGTCACTTGCTTTAACTGGGCAGAACCGCAGATCAGAACACACAGTTACAGCTCCAGAAATGAGCAAATCAACAAGACCAGTCTTGGTTTGTGCATCTAACAGACATCTCTGATGAATGTCTTAACATCAATCAGTTATTTCGGACACTCATTGTTAAACTCAAAGTACCACAAAAATAAATAAAAAAGCATATTCCTTACAAGTGTTTGTATCCATTAAAACCAGAAATTCATTTAATTATCAGCAACAGAGAGAGATTCATTAGACCTATTTCTTGGAGAACTTCTTCTTGGAAGCAACGGCGACGACTTGTGGTTTCGGATGCTTCTCGGCTTCGCTCGGATCTAACCATTTGAGAGGATGATTATTGTAGAAAGGCCAATTAGGTACAGTGATCAGCGTCGCGAGAACAACACCACCGGCGTAGATCAGCATCATCGTCCTAAACGACTCCGTAGCGTATCCAACGACCACCGCGACGACGCCGGAGATCAACAGTAAGATCTGCATCACCTGCTCCACCAGTTTCTGCCCTTGCCAATCCATTATCTTTCGATTTTGGAAAGTGAATCGAAGAAACCCTAATTCCACAGATCTGATCTCTCACTGTAACAACGTAAGAAGGAAGAAAATCAATTTATGACCTCTAAATCGGTAAACCGGAAAGATATTACAATGAATTGGGCCTTAACGTGATTAGTTATTCGGCCCATTACAAAACCGAAGGTGTTAGCATTTGATATCCAACATTTTAGTAATCTTTTCACTTTGTACACTATACTAGTGAAGTTGTGAGCGTCATTTTTGTTACAAGGTCCATATCATTGAACATTTGTTTTTCTCTTGTCTTACTCAGGCGTTTGTTAATTATACACAATGAGTTAAGGAAATAATATAGAACTAGGTGATAACCCTGCCCTGCGGAGTGAATGATTAAAAGACATTATTACTTTTAATCTAATATGTTAGAAAGTTAAAAGTTATTGTCACAAATATTAGATATAATGAAATATAAAACGAAATTGTGCATGCATATATAATGTAAGCTTATTTATTTTTCTGAAAAAAGCTTATGTAATTGAAATATATTTTATAGAAAAAATCTATAAGAGTAAGTAAAGACATATAAATTTAGTATGAAGTGAAGATAAAACAAAACATAGACAATAGAATTATTTCTTTTATAACTAAAATTCTGATTATAATATTAAAAGAAACATAAAATAAAATACAAAAGAAACATTTACAAAGAAACAAATAAAAAAACTAATAAAACCACAAATGATGTGAAAAAGTCTTCAGAACTTCTAGTTTACAATCATATAGAGAGGAAATAACAAAGAATCAGTTTTATACCAAAATAAAAATATACTTATTTACCAAATTCACTTAACGAAATGATATACCTCTTTCTGTAAGCATCGATTTTTGGAACATCATTGGGTTCAAAAATAATTTTGAAAAACCCATCAATGTTAGTCAAATTCTTCAATCGACCTTATCATTATAAACAAAACAATTTCAGCAAAATATTAAGGGGATATCAGCTCCAACACTTTTTATTTAAAATTAGTACAATACATTATCTACTCCCCAATTAATTTGCCAAAATTGTTACACATAGTACAACATTTGTATCCAAGCATATTACATTAAACATAGCTAAAATTGTAGAAACTCACATTAGAATCAATGAGAACCATTTCAATAGTTAGGCCACCAGCAGAGTATAGCTTCCACATTCGAACAATGCTCACCCTCACTCTCCGGTCTCCACATGGTCATAAATGGTTTCAACTCGGCTACAGAGTTAAAACCTGCCATGAGTGTTTTGCTTCCGAGAATGTTTTGGTAATGATTATTTGAGAAGCAGAATCTGGTGAGGAGATGTTCTTTCGGCACCATATTTATATACCTCTTGGAAGAATATTAGGGTTAATCGGCTTTGTGAAATCACCATAACTAATTTTGTTTCACTAATTAATATTACATAACTTGCTCTAATTTTTCGGCTAAAACTTGCCTTAACTATCGAATGCTAATAAATCAAGGCAAATAAAAATCAATTCCCAATATATCTTTCTTTTTATATGAACCTAATTGATGAACATTACTTGATACGTTTTAAAAAATCAATAAATGAAGATTATGAATTGATTCAAAAATTAATACCACAAATTTAACCCAAAATTGTGAATTGATGTTCCAGTTTACACACGTTTTGAAATATAAGGAAACAAAGATTGCGAATTGATTCACAAAATCAATCAAACACTACTCAATCTAAAAATTTGACTCCACAAAACAATCATTTGTTGTTTACGGCCAGATGTTAACATATTATGATATAGTCTCATGTGTAATATAGAAACTATATTCGTTCTCTAATAATGTTGACTCCACAAAAATAGTATATCAAGGACGTATATGTTCATTCTTTAATAATGTTGCAGTAAACAGAAAACCAAAATACATTCTTTTTTGTTATTTTGTTTATCACAGTACCTAAGTAATCGTGAAGTCCAAAATTAATATGTTTGGAACGTATGTGAGTAATATATAAAAAAATTATATTGTAAACACAAATATAAGAAAACCATGGAAATAGAAAGCATTTATAATATAATTTTATCATAATATGTAGACGGATGTATGTGTAATTAGAGAGCATTTAGTTTTGTTATCTAATAATTAGGAAGCATGTAGTATATTATGTGAAGCTACAATTTAATGGCCAATGGCAACATATGTAATTAGTCTAGTAAGAAGAGGGTTTTTAATAAAAGGGTGTGAGAATGATTATGGTGTTGCCACATAGGAAATGGCAATTTGGTTAATAACACATGAAGTTAAGGTTAATTTTTAGTAATGCTCCTCAAATAATATAAAAGGGATGTTTTTGTTTTCTTCTAACACTTTGCTTTTTCTTTCAGAATAGGACTTTGAGAAGAAAAATCTACCAAAATTTAACTCTTTGTTTGACATGAGAAAGTTTGAAAATAACATCAATTACAATATATCTGGCTTATCTTCATAAACAATACAATTATTGGATAGTATATATATATATATAACTTCACCAGATTTCATCACAAATTAAAACTTTTGTCTTTTACCACACAAGAAAAGAAGAGGAAAAAACTCTTAAACCTTGAAAAATCCATGAATCATTTTGGCCGCACTCCCTCTAATTTTCTATGCCCACAAGAAAGATTTGAAAAAAAATCGAGATCGCCAAGAGATAAAAGTTTGTGGTCATGTAATCAGTAATTCATATAAAATTGCTAGCGCTGAAGACGAGAAGTCCAATCATGGGCACCCCTTGTTTCGTTGCAACAAAAAAGAAGAAGACAAATATATATACACAAACGTTGTCACTCATGTTGGAGATACCTAAAAGGTAACCCTTATTATACTTCAGTTGTAAATATTGCAATTACGATTATCACGAGGAATGTGTAGAGTCTCCCTCTGTGTTCTATTCCTCTGATCATCCAAAACATCCTATTCAACTTCTTTGGTTTGCTTGTTTTAGCCACACTGATCTACCACAATGTCATTCTTGTGGAGATAAAAAAAGCAAGGCATTATACTATTTGTGATTTTATGATCCATCTTTTATGTGCAAAATAACCCAAAGCCATTACTATAGACAATCCAAAAATGCATAAACATACCCTCCATTACTTTTCTAGGAGATCTGCTCTAGTGTGCGATGTTTGTGGGATGGAAGACAATACAAATTATTTATATGTATGTCTCTTATGCGATTTCACTGTCCACAAATAGTGTATCTACTTAACGTATGTTATAAAAATAACTCGTCACACTATCGTCTCAATTTTACGTCCAGTCTTCCTTACAAAGAGTCGATTGCTTGTAGAGTTTGTCAGGCAAAGATAAACGAAAACTGTGGAGAATACTCTTGCAAAAACGGATGCGTGTATGCAATTCATTCAAAATGTGCGATGCGAAGTGATGTGTCTGATGGAAAATAATATGAAAGAGAACCTGAAGAAGCATATGAAATTGTTAAAATGTTTGAGGAGGAAGGTAATGGAATTATATGACATTTAAGTCATCAACATCATCAAATGCAACTTGATAAGAATATCTCAATAGTGTGTGGCGACACCAAGCATTGTCAAGCGAGCATGGTTCTTATATATATTGATGATGATATGTATCAATACATGCAATGTGGTGTCATTCTCCACAAATCGTGTGTACATATTCCATGTGTGAAACAATTCATGCTACATGTCCATCCTATAACTCTTAAATGCGACGATTCAGAATGGTTCAGATGCACAAAATGTAATCGTATTTCATGCGGTTTCAGATATGAGTGTAATATCCAAGAGTACTGGGTATTAGACATACTTTGTGCTTCTATATGTGAGCCGTTTTATTATCACTTTCATCCACATCCTTTATTCATCACTTCTGAAGAAAGCACATTCCAATTATGTTCCATATGTGAGTTAAAGATGCAACAACCTCTAGATTGTGTTAAGTGCAATTTTTCTATGTTTTCATTGCGCTACACTACCATGCAAGATTTATTATGAGCATGATCAACACTTATCATTTTCTTGTACATAAGAGATATAAACCATGAAGTTTACTGGTGTGAAATATGTGAAGAAGATATAGATCCCAAGAACGGATTATATGCATGCGATGAATGTGAAATTGCCCTCCATATTGAATGTTTACTTGGAAAAGATCCATACATGAAGCCTGGACAAAGTGACCAAAGTTTGGTGGGATTTATATATTGCGTCCTAACACTTGTTCAACTAGACCTAGATGTATAAATTTTAAGAGACAATGTTTATACACAATAAAGATAGAAATACCTCGTCTAGGCACGCTATGCTCTTTTGAATGTTTATATGTCGTATCTAAAAAGTTGAACTTCTGAGAAATAAAAAATTTCGGAAAATGATATGTTTAAGAATTTGTAAATATTAACTATGAAAACTTCTTTTAAAATAATTTGATTTTTTTAATTTATCGTGATTTTATTTTTTAACATGTACAAAACCCAAACTATTGGTGATGACAGATAAAATTATTCAAGTAGGCAATTTACTTTCGGATAATTAGGTGGATAAAAAAGAGTTCCAGTGACTAACTACCATGGAGAATGTTGTATGTTTGTTTTCTAGTGTTGGAACTAGCCCAGTGATTTAATGGTTAGTGTTCGTCTATCTCGTTGGTATGTTGATGTTAGGGTTCCCTTATTCAAAGTGAAAGCGTGAGAGTCGTATCTCCAGATGGGGAACTTATGCAAAAAGCTCTCATAAGAACTTGATAGCCAAGTACATTAATTGTGTCAACAAACAACCGAATGAACAAAATGTTTGGTCATATATGTTTCACCTGCTCACAATTTATTGTTGTAAGACTACTTACAATGGCCTATTGAAACTTTTAATTCAATAGTTGAAAAGCTCCAATGGAGTATTGAAAAAAATTTGAAACTTACGTGTATTCATTTACGTTGAATCAATTCAACATTGTTGAATCGCTGAAGGAATAAGTAAAGTGGACCCTCCAATGCCACTTGTCCTTCATACATTGGTCACTGAAATTTCTGATTTGTTTTCTTCTCACAATTATTCAAAATC